CGCCGGCACACAGCATCTCCTCGGTGACCTCCCCGTGGTAGGCAGCCCGGTTGCAGCTCTCGGTGTCGATGAGTTTCACCTCTGCCTGCTGCAGCGTCTCTGACAGTTTGCCTGCGCAGAACGTGGCTGCTTGGAGGGGTGCCTGGGCGAGCAGGGACCCCCCGCCGGTCCCCTCTCCTCCTGCTGGGGGGGACCCTGCCCTGGGCTTGCTATGCACTCACCATGCTCCTGCGTGTAGCCCCAGCCTATCACCCACAGGGACGTGCCGGGCACCAGCTCCTCGTCGAAGTAGGGGAGGCAGATGGGCTTGCTGCTGTCTGGAAGGGAGAGGGGAGGCACAGGAGATGCTGGGGATGCTCAGAGGAAGGTCCCTCTGGCTAGGCACCCAGCTTCCCGCTGATGGGTGCCTTGGCGAGCTCTTGCTCTGAGGAGGTGTGTGCCACATCTCACCTGAGTCCTGCAGGGGAGCCTGCAGCTTCACCAGGGCAATGTCATTGTCCTTGGGAGACGGGCGCGTGGGCTCAGCCACGAAGACCTTCTCCACAGCGAGGGTGGTGGTGCCCGAGAGGAGGTTGGAGCCAGCCTTCACATGCCATCTTTGAACGATGGGGTTGTTCCTGCGCACAGACAGGTCTGTTATTGCTCCCCTTCCCCTCCGGGACTGCTGCAGGGACGGGCAGCAAAGCCCTGCCTGCGCTGGGTCAGCATCACTCGGCTGTATGGACCGAGGGGCACAGAGCCCTGCGCAGACGCGTTCATTATGGGACCTTTAAGTGACATATCGCATTGACCCGGTGCTGGCTGTCACCACGGTGTGATGCAGTGGGAGGGGGTGACTCACTTGAAGCAGTGCGCTGCGGTCAGGACCCAGTGGGGGTCGATGATGGTGCCCCCGCAGATGTGCTCGCCCCGGTACTGCAGGCTGACCTGCCACGGCCAAGCCTCGATGGCAGCCGGGCTCCCGCCCAGCACGCGCGGCATCCTCCTGCTCTCCCCGCACTCTTGTGGGCAGCCAAGCAGCGGCAAAGCAAGATGTTAGCTGCGGGGTGGGGAGAGAAAGAGCATCCTCTCTGCCCTCCTCCATCCTCCAAGGTGAGTGGGGTCCCGGGGAGGGGAGCGTGGCCGTGGTGCCTCACCCCCCATGACACTGCCTGTCACCCCTTTGGGGCACACCCCCCCTTTTGTTCTCTGTTTGCACAGCCCCCCAGGCTTGCTGAAAGGGGTTCACCCCTTCCTTGCCTCCTCCAGCCCACCGGATGGATTAACCAGGGTAATTAATTACAGCAGCACACGGGCTGTG